GGCTGGCTGCCGCGTGTCGGGCCCATCGCCCCCTGCTGGGTCCGGTTGTCACTACGTGCACACGACTGCCCCGCTCCTCCGCCCACTCCGCCGGGGTGGCAGGGGGCTCCCCGTTGCGCTCCATCTGTCCTTAAAGCCCGAGCACTATCCGCGGAGGAAAAAAAATGGGGAGTTCTCCGATAGGAGAACGGGCGTTGGATGCAAAAAATAGCCTGGCTTCCCGTAGTCGGCAGGATTCGAACCTGCGCGGGGAGACCCCAATGGATTTCTAGTCCATCGCCTTAACCACTCGGCCACGACTACCCCTGCTCTTGGCTTCCGCAGTGAGGTCTATATGGAAACTTTGCACAATGTCTGCTGCAGTAACGTAGTTGGATCAAGAGGAAAAACATTGTAAGGGAACGTCTGAGTGTTAGGCGCTAGTGGTTTTAGCTCTTTGGAGAGGGGAGGAGATCCTAGTACTGCTGTGCACCTGCTTGCACAGGGATGGAGCCGTTTCCAGGAGGGAGCCTGGGCCCTGGGCCCTGGACCTGGACCCTGGGCCCTGGACCCTGGACCCTGGACCTGGACCCTGGACCCTGGACCCTGGACCCTGCGGGGGCTGACCAGCCTTTGGGCGTCCTGGCGTCGCCCCAGCTCCATGCCCCAGCCTCGCTCCCAGGCGAGCAGCTCCCTTTTCATTCACTAGGCACTGAAATGCTGTCTCCCGCGATCTGAATTCATTACGTCCCGCCGTCCCCTAAAAGCCCTCCTTTGAAAAGAGCAACGGGCGGTGACAAATGTCAGGTGTTGTCACTTAATGGTATTCCTGTAACTACTACACACCTGTAACCCGAACTGGGAGCGTTTCTGAAGCGGGGTAGCGAAGGGAGGCGCGCCCTTGGACACTGGAGATCGTTTGATCCAGGTGATTTAGTCGCGTCCTTGATTTGGCTTGTTTTTTTTTTTCAAAATAACTTTCATGTCCCTGAAAAGCAAGCTGCAGTGGTGTGCTGGGGGGAAGGGTACTTGCTCATTCCATTTTTGCCAAATTTGGGTGCCAGTTGTTAAATGCAAACATTATTAAAAATTAAATTACATAAACTTAGAGTAAAATTAACCACGAAAACAAAAATAATGCTCAAAAGTCACCATGGTCTGGTGACTTCCTTACATCTACTGTGACTTTCGCTGTTGGGGTGATTTGCATCTGTGTGTCTGACATGCTATGCAATGGCTTGCTATTGTGACTCTCTTCTTAACTTTCCATTCAGTGATGTACTTGGGGAGCTTGAAATCAGCCTTCATGGGTGTATTTTGTAGCATTTACATCTTGCGAATGCTACAAAATATGGCATTTCCCCCCCTAAAAGCTGATTATGAAACATTTACCAGCTCACCACCAATATTGCCATCAGACGGCCCCAAATGTTCCCAGCAAGGCAAAACTCTGCTCACCCGCAGAGCTGCGCCGGTTATTTTCCCAGCAGCTTTGTTTTAGCCGCTAGAATCCTGGCACATTGTATGATCTCCCACTCAGTTTTTCAAAGGGTTCCCTCCCCCTTTTTTTTCCTCTCAAGTTGCCTTGCAGGGTGATTGCATTTGGAGTTGTCCTCCAGCAGAAGGACAGGAATAAACCACTTGATATTGAAGTTGCCCTTGCCACGTGGTTCCAGGGGGAGTAATGCATAGTTGCCATTCAGTTTAATAGGCTTAAGTTAATGATTTGACTTTTCTCTAGAAAAGATGCATTCGAGGTGGTAGATGTCAGTATAGGTGACTGTTGAACAACATGGGGGTTAGGGGTGCAGACCTCTATGCGGGGGAAAACCCCCTATATTTTTTAAAATTCTCATCTGAGGATATTTTTTCCATTGCTTTTCAGACAGAGTGGAAGGGAGAGAGAGAGAAACGCCATCGATGCGAGAGAGGCACATCGATTGGTTTGATGGAATCAAACCCGAGACCCTTCAGTCCGCAGGCCGGTGCTCTAACCACTGAGCCAAACCAGCTAGGGCTCCTCCTTTGTAATTTTTGGTGGCTTCTGGTCAAGATGGCAGAGAAGGTAAATGTGGTACTTGCATCTTCCCAGGACAACATAAAAATTACAGCTGAACTACAGAACAACCACCACTGAGAACCACCTGAAGTCCAGCTGAACAGAAGTCCTGACCTAAGGATATATGTAGTAAGAAGCCACACTGACACTGGTAGAAAGGCAGAGATGTGGAATGAGCAGGTGCCAACGGCTGCGGAGGTGGCCCCTGAGTGAGCCGTGCCAGCCCAGGGGTCAGTGCCAGGAAGAGCAGCCCCCATAACTTCTGGCGTGAAAGCCAGAGTAGACTGTAGCTGAGCGGACGGCCGCTGGATTCCCAGGTGTTCTTAGAGGGCCTGTGCACAGACTGACTTGCTGACAAACTGGGGCAGCAGCTCAAGGAGCGCGAGGGACAGACGGGGAGGAACTGAGTTGTCTGGCTGCAGGGAGAGGGCTGGGGGCAGCTTTCTCCCAGACAGAAGTGCTGGCAGAAGCCATTGTTCCTTTGCTAAGCCTCCCCCTATAGGCTAACACCGTTTGCCCCACCTTGGCCGGTGTTGCTCGGTGGTTAGAGCGCCGACCCACGAACCAAGGGTTGTGGGTTCGATTTTCAGTCAAGGGCATGTACCTGAGTTACAGGTTTGATCCCCAGCCCTGGTCCGGGCAGGTGCGGAAGGTAATCAACCGATGTGCCTCTCTCACATCGATGTTTCTCTCTCTCTCTCTCTCTCTCTCCCCCTCTCCCCCTCCCTTCTACTCTCCCTAAAAATAAATGTGAAAAAATATCCTTGGGTGAGGATTGCCAAAAAAAAATAAAAGGGCAGGCTCAGTGGGCACCAGAGCCTTGCTGAAGTGAGTTCTGCTCCATCGGGTCAGCCCTGTTGGTTTTTCCAAGCAACTGAAGAATGCTCTGAGCTGCCTTCCTGCTAGCACCCCAACGAGTTGGAGGAGGTGACACAGCTGGTTCTATTGTCCCACACAGCTTCAGGCCAACCCCTTCAGTTAGAAGGTGTTTTATAATCCTCCTGGCTCTTCACATAATAAATTGCAAGGCCTCTTTGAATTCCCATGTACTCGGGTTTAATTGTCCCAGCCCTGCTTTTCTCCCCACACATCGCAGACCTTCTAGATAAACACCCACTACTGAGCAGCAACAGCGGAGTGAGGGGAGCCCCCCCCCCCA